GAACATTTAAATAATACCTGCTAACAAAAAGGGTAACAGCAATTAGAAACAAAAAGAAACCGGTTTGTATCATTTCAGCATTCAAAAGTGGGGAAATGCAAGCACCAAACAAGCGCATACCAAACCAATCCCCCAAACCCACATGAAAGGCAAGGTTTTTTTCCCCCCCAGTTAGCTCTCTAGAATTGGTTGCTTTTAACAGCTTGAGACACTTCAGGTAAGAGAGTAAGACTGTTATATTTAGACCCTTTCAGACGGCATTCAGCTTCTGAGCACTGCGCTGAGCCGTGAGGGACAGGAACCCCCACCTCTCCAGACCCAGAGGCTGTGTTTGGACTCCTCCTACCTGGCTGCTGAGCCTGGGCTGAGAAGTGCACCTTTTGGTCTCCAGACTCCCACAAACACTGCCTCCAGCCCACCAAGGCTTTCAAAAACACGTTATTATTCCAGAGTTACCGTTTATCATCATCTGGAAACATGCAAATAGAAATCAAGCAGCTACAAGCTCCTATTGCCCATCAACACAAGCAGCATGATGCCAATGGGATCATCCTGTTAGCCCAGCAAGTTCCAGACTGCTTCTCTCTGACTTGGGAAGAGAGTCCCATAGCCCTTCCACACCACCACACAATGCGGGGCCAAAGGTACTCAACTGGTTCGAAGATTGGCTGCTTTCACCTGGACATGGAACCTGGGATGGAACACGACCTGGCACCAAGCCTTAAGCTCCAATTAGCACTAACCCGACACAATGTTCTTCTGGGGGTGTTATATTCATCAACGAATGTCAGATAACGAGCTGATAAGCACCACAGAAAAAGCATGCAAGTAGGTAATCAAACACATTAATGTCATTTAGTGGTTCCAGTCCAACATGACACATTAATCATCAATAACAGTCAGCAGAATGACGAAGGCTGGGGAGTGAATGAGACACAGGAATTAGCTCTGCTTTCCCTTCCCCTAGGACATCACAGAGATGTCACACCTCCGAAGCAACGTGACAGCATTAGCTGCGTGCCCTTTCCTCCCATGCTCTCAGCCCAGCAAGCTATTTATAAGCATGAAATATGTGCCACAGAACCCTGTTCTCATCTGCTTCTTTGAGACACTTCTCATCCTGGGTGACCTAAACAGTGGGTGAGAAAAGGAAGGAGGAGGTGTAAGACAGTCATCTTCATGACAAATGACTATTTGCAGAACAGAGTGTTATTCCAACCACATTTAACATCTAAACACGTTCAGTACGCAGTGAGGCTCCCAGGCTGACTAACCACAGCTCACTTGAACCATCAGCAACTCCTCCCCACCAGCACTGACTCTGTTCAGAAGGAGACCAGCCCACTTTCAGGCAGCACACAAAATGCCTACAGGTCCTGAACTTGGGGAGAAACCCCTGTTCTATGTGCAGACCTATCAGCGACTCCAAACATGAACTCAACACCGAAGAGAGCAACACCGCACAGCTAAGGCTCAGTGAAAGATGCACGAAGTCACAGGATGGCTCTCTGAAAACTGGAAGAGCAACTCAGCATAACACCAGAAAATATGACCCCACCTCGCAGCTCGAGCGGTTTGGTTGCCTTCTGTCAGACGGCAGCAGCTGCAGTCAGCACCTTTCCAAGCAAAGAGGATGAGAACAGATCCAAATCCCAACATCTGCCCCAAAGACATACAGCTATTTGGAACTCCCTCTGTTCCCTCCGCTTGGCTGGAGCAGGAATAGGGGGACGAGATTCCCACGTGCAGCTGAGCAGGAGGCTGGGAGGACAGATCAGCTCCTGCAGTTCTCTCCCTGTAGCCTGAGGTACAGAGAACCGAATATTCAGAAGCAAACAGGAATCCGGATGTTTTGTCAGAAGGAGTGAAGTATTAATCTAATTTTCTAAACAAAGCAGACAACCTGGCACTCAAAGCAGCTTACCACTTTGCACCTCTGTACACGGATTAGCAGAGCGCTGTAATTATAATGCCCAATTTGATTTATTAGAGGCTGCTCAGAAAGGATGACAATTCTGTTGAATTGTGAAAAGAAGTGATGAGAGTATAAGGAAAGCTGCAAATTGATCAGTAATTTCCAAGCAATGTCTCAATATAATTAGCATTAATTACAGTAAGCTTTTCAAATTAGTTACAAAGCTATGTTTAATAACCCTGAGATGCAAAAATCACCCCCAACTTCCAGAAAACTCTGTATTACAGCCAATTTGTCTAGACAGTTTGGCAGGAAATGCCAGAATCCTAGGTGTGAAGCTGTGGTTATTTAAAATACATTTAAGTTCCCTATATCATTTGCATAATTAGTTTGAACTAAGAATACCTTAGTTTGTCTACCTTGGATGTTGCTGCTACTTCCAGCAGCCTTACAGGCCTGAAAACTTGTCTGGATTCCACAACAATATCAGCTAGCATAATATGAGCTATTTTCAAAAGCTTCATTTGCAACAAAAGACGAATTCAAAGTGTGACTTGTTGAAAGATGTGCAGTGTATTATTGAGTGAATCATCACAGGTTTTATTTTATAGTCTTTGTGCAAACTTCTTGTTCTTTTGGGGGTTCGACACTTAAACCACCAGGAGACCAAAGAAAAGGTTAAGCCACGGATGAAAGCGAGATGAATTCAGGGACCAGCGGATGAGGCAGCCAACGCCTGCTCTCTCCACCCACAGCAGCCCAACACTAGCCAGAAGAATCACCTGCCAGCCATACCCATGGCAATGTGCTCATTTCTCAGAGCAGAAATATAAAGCATCCAAATATTTGGTCAACTAAGGCTGCAGAATATAATTGCAGAAACGGGAACCTGGCCAGCGTGCCAAAGCCTCCTGCCCCCAGAGGTAGGAAAGGCAGCATCACAACATCCCTAGTGGCCACGAGTACCAAGCCTCAGTTATGTATTCCATGCAGAAGCTGTCCATACTAACAGCCCTTTCCTCTCGTGCAGCAGTGAGGAGCTGGCTCACCCCGACTCCGGGAAGACCCTGCCCCCAGACATCTACTACAGACAGCTAAGCTGCACTGAACTTGCTGCAGCGTGAGCTTTGCCTGGAGGAAACAACCCTAACCCTTCACAGAGGAGCATTTACTGAAGCCAGGCCTTCACGCTGCAGAGATTTTGAAGGCAATCAAGAACTAATGACCTCCTGCAGTGCTCCTGGTCTCCACACTCACACCCAGCTGCATCCACGTGACAATCTGAAGGGTTCCTCCAGGAACAAGCACTGATCAGCAGTAGCTTTATCTGCACTTTGCAAGGGGTGACAGACACGGTGGGGGCTTCTTCACATAAATAAATAAAAACACTTGACACAATAGCTTCACAAGGCAGAAAGCAGAGGAACTAATGAAGTACAGTATCGCAACCCCAGTCTAAGAAGCAGTTAAGAATACCATAAAGCATTATTGCTTCTAAATATTTTGTATCAGATGCTTTCTGGGGAAATGCAGGCTTACCACTTCCAGGTTTTGATGTCAAGAAAGGATCTCAGTTGCACGTTTTAGTTTCACTGAAAGACTGAGCATCTATTTACCCCTATAAAAAGTAATTTTAATTTGCACAGACTGTGTATTTGTGCACAAAGCCATTGCACCTGTAACTAGAGGGGGGAACTGAAACCCAATCACTTGACTACTAGCAAGAGCAAACAAGAAACCTGATCTATTTCAGTTATATATACAGAGGCAATTATAAAAACAAAACATTTGGTACCACTTTGGGGAGTTAAAAAGAAAATAAACCTGGCAAGTATTTTACTAGAAATGCCTGATCACATGATTTGCTACCTGTTTCCAAGCAGAGAAGTAGTAACATATGGACAGAAGTCATTTGCTGTAAATTATTTCCATTATTTTTCTTTAAATTAAAATGAAGAAGTTCGAATATAATGAGAACAATGAGCTACTAGAAGAGTGGGGCTGTAAGAAGACCCACAGAGCTCCTAATGTAAAACGCACTGAGCCCTTCTGAAGGAGCATCTTGTGATGTAAGCACAAATGACTGCAAGGGTGGAGAGGTTACACCGAGGGTTGTGTTACAGGACCTTATTGATCCTTTCAGATCCTAAAATATCGAAAGCCTTTGGAAGGAAAATACTTCCAATAATATGGTGAATTCCATCTTCTGTTGTTTGGCACACTTACAGAACTGGTGTCATGGAGCAGAAGGTGCACTTCACTGCATCGTGAAGAATTGAAAATAGTTCTTTTGTCATAGTATACTTTTCAGCTTGGAACAAGAGCTGGAGGTTCAAATACACCAATCTTCCCACCAGCCACCACCCGGCACTGTGCTAACGGACACCTGGAAGGTGCTCACAAATGATGGCTGCTGTGCCTTGTGCATTTCAAGCTGATGAACGAGCACTGAGTCACCAGCAGATCTCCATGCTGAGCAGCAGCAAGCACTAAGCAGCCTGCTAAGCACAGAGCCTCTCCTTTGCTGCTGCCTGGGCTGCTACAAACTGCCCTGATGGACACCACTAGAATCATCCTCTCCAGCGTCACAACTCTGAAGGAATTAATGCTCTACCGTACTTTAGAAGGGCGCAAAGATTCCCTAAAGCACAACTTCCTCCAAACTGATTTCCAACTTCTGAAATACTTGGATGTTCCCTTCTCAGCACACTCCTTTGGGGGCACATGAACTTAACACATGAGGTGGAGACATCCACGTTTGCAACTCCAGGAGCACATTCACAAGCAGGACTACCCAAAGGAGGCTGTGACCTGCCTGAGAGCCACAAACTCACAGTGCAAATTAACGCATTTTCTCTAAGGACACAAGGGAGCTCTGCTCCTTCCTTCCCACATTACTCAGAATACCTGGTCTTCCATTTCAGTTTATGAAACCTGCCTGCAACACTGACTATTCTCACTTTCCAGCAATCTTATGAGACATTTTCAGCAGCACAGTTACATTAACACCCAGCCTAGGAACGGGGCAGCACCTCAGCGGCCACCACTGCCACGCAGTCACTTCAGATGAGAAGACCTCCCCTACCTGCTTGGTTAGCTTCAGCGGGAGTTTCTTCTTCACGCGTTCTTTGCCTCTTTCTGCCTCTCTCTCTGAGCTCCCCGCATCGTTATTGTGGCCATTTTCACTCGGCTCAGCAGACACACAGTTTTCAGATTCTCTAGGTTTCTTGCCTGGATGCCTCTCCCATTTTTCTTTCCGCTCCTGAGGCTTTAGCGACATGTCCTTCTGTAAAGGAAAAAGAATACAGTAAGCCCTTAATTCTTTAAGACTACTTTTAAGCATTCAGCAATATAAATATTAAATAAAAACACAGACAAGACACCACATTCTTTCCAGAGATGACTTAAGATGAATAATTAGGCATGCACAATGCAAACAGTAATTTTAGATTAGATTAAGATGAACACTCTCCAGGCTATGTGTTTGACTAATTTCAGAGATGCTGGAACTGGTTATGAAAATGAGTTTGCGTCAGATTAATTCAGGAACCATATGTCAACAGCACCTAAACAAACCAGCATCCTGAAGAAAAGCATTTAACTCCATTCATCTGAACAGAGTTCCGAGTTCTACTGTTTTGTCTGATCTCAGAAAGGAACGCATCAGACCCCCCTTGGGCCTGATGGTCTCTGGTTCACAGCAGCACTCACATGGGGAAACGCACTTTGAAAGCCGACACGCGTTCAATCAGAGAGCCGAGATCAATGAAATCTGCACAAATCACAGTAGCCAAATACCTCCAAGCGTTCCGTGCCTGCCATGAATCAGAACCGCAGCGTACGGCTAGGCACAAGCTGAGAGCTGCTCTGCCACGTCACACTGACTAATGCTGGGAGGCGAGGTCAGACCAGGGTATTCCTGCTGCTGTCCCTGCCATCCTAGAGAACTGAAAGCACAACCCTGGCCACGACGGCCCGTCCTCCCTCCAAACACACAGTATGGAAACAGCACAAGAAACAAGAAGCCAATGGCTGAGGCAGTAGTTCATTACAGCCACTTACGTTTTTCCCTACGCCTTGACTGCTGCATCAAATTAAGCTTTCTGGAAGACTTTGATGACTCTCTAGCCCAATTAACATTTTTATGCAACCTAACTGTTTCAGATTAGGGAACACCTCAAAAGGCACTGCTAACCACACTAAAACATGCCAACCTCAGCCACAGAAATATTTCTAAATGCCTCGTCCCTCACTTCTGCCTCAGTCACATCAGCAGCATTTGTATCCCTTATGAATGGAGCGCACAGCACAACTCACACAGCTTCACTGCTGTGAAAGAGCAATATGGAATCCCCACAGACCCCGCACAGAGATGCACTGTGGGGCTGCCAAGCTCCTCTTACATACTGCAAAAAAAACAAAGACATCACCTCCCACCTCCACCCCCAAATTAAAATAAGTAGCACTGCCTCAGAACAACAATACAGCTCAGCTTGCCAAATCCATAACTAGTGAAAGAGCAAAGAAAAGGATTATCTGGCATTATTCACTGCGAACGACGAAATGAAGAATACAAATTAGTGTTTAGTTGCTCACTTTGGTTTCTAGCTCAGAGATAACATTCTACAGCAGCAGTTTGATGCTACTTAAAGAAGGTCACGTCATCCTATTTGCTGGGAAGCAGCAGAGACAGAAATCAAAATGCTAAGCTTTAGTAACTAATCAGAAACTAGTGCAATGGAAATGACATCTGCTAACTGATACTCAGCAAAACATTAGAAACAGAAGTCACCAAAAGCACGCGTTTCTTGACAAAGCCAGCTGCAGCTGCAGTGTGACAGTGAGCACAGAGATGCTGCATGGGAGGACACGGGCACCAGTGCGGGGGAAAGGAGCGGCTCTAAGGGAATGCCACCACCTGAAGGCACCAGGAATTATGGCACTGAGGCTCTGCCTGGCTTCACATGGGGACCCGAGCCCTGGGAATGCCTTACTGAGGACCTTCCCTCTGTGCCACCCACAGCACGTTCACTGCAGGTTTCAGGACGTTCACTTTCCCACACAGCTAGTCAAGAAAGATGCATTTTCCCCTTTCCTGACACATACAAAATTGCTACTTAAACACTTGGCTTTTTATCCCCATTTTTCTTTGAGCTGCAGCATTGCCTCACCACTGAGCTACCAGTAGAATTAATCCTGTGAGCACACTCAGGGCCTTCCCTTACAGCAGCACTTGTATCCTCAAACCTCCAAAACTTTCTAAGCAGACCTGAAGGAAGAGCCAGGCCCTGGCGACCGGGAAGCTCAGGAAGCTCCCCAGGCTCTACAGCACGTACAGGCAGCAGGCAAAGTTCTCTGCCCTGTGACAAGCTTACCCCATGGCTCTATTCCTCCCTACTCCAGCAGAGGATGCGGCTCTCAGGACTTCACTTCTGCTGGGGATGCAGAACACAGAGCCGGCAGCTGCTGGAGGTGGGGAGGGTGTCAGCAGGGCTGTTTTCGCTCAGTGCACAAGGCCTCAGACGATAAATAACGCTATGAATAATGCAGGTGCACGGCCATGGGTTTGGAATGAGGTTATCCTTACCCCTGAAATGCCACCACAAGCAATTTCTGCACAGTGGTGTCCATGTCATCCATTTGATCAGGAAGCAGGCGGCAGCCCTCGGGGAGCCCTCTGGCTGCAGGCACCCTGCGTGCCACTGCTCTGTGCCCTAATCCTCCCAGCTCGCACAGCTCACGGGGAGCAAGGAGAGCACAGGGGGAGGCCTGGCTCCTAAGTGCCTTTCACAGAGAAGGAGCACTTCAAGGACCCCCAAAAAATGCAAAACCACACAGCCAGAAGAAAAACCTCAAGCGTGCTGCTCTGGGATGCAGAGGACAAGAATAACTCCTAGCACTGCTAAAGCAGCTTGCTTCAGCCCTCCAGCACCAGGCAGACTGCAGCCCTAGTGCAAAACCGAGCCTGTCGGACACTGCACGGCTCAGAGCAGCAGCCAAGGGCTGGTGGTGACACTGCACTGCTGCCAAACTGTCTCTGCTGATTTCAAAAGATTATACGGGCTGATTTCCCAGCAGGGGAACAGCCTAGAGCTCCTCTCTCACAGGCTGCTCATTCCAGCACTTACTCCTTAAGCTGGAGAACATAAAACATCCCACTTCCATGCAATGGAAATAGAAGGGAAGTACCATCCCTAAAATTGACCCTCTTGTTCCGCTTCTGCCTCTCCCTGCTCTCAGCAGAAGTGCAGCAGGAAGGCCCCTGAGGACCTGAGCACCACCTATCCTTACATTACCTTCATCCTGAAATTAGCAGGAGGTTTTGTCAAATACCCCAGGGAGTGATCCTGGCTCAGAGACAAGCTGAAACAGATTTTCTTTTAATTAGGTTAATTTTTAAATATTCCTATTGACCTTATATCCAGTTTATAGAACAGCAATACAGAAGCCAGTGCCGACTTGATTCTCTTGTGTCTTCTGAGCAGAAAAAGCACTGTGCAGATGCAGCCAGGACCTCTGCCATGAAATGCCTGGTGTCCGTTTCATTACACAGAGGTGACACAAGAGATAGTAATTCAGAAGGAAAGATAATGTTGGAGATGTATATCAGAGAGTAAGGAAAGAAATGAACTTTAGAGAGAAATGACTCTGGGACCAGCACAGAAGAGGAGCAGCCAACAGGCAAACGCAGTGCAGTGAACAAGGAGAAAACAGAGATGTAGGATGGGAAGAAGTGGTCACTGCCACAGAGGAACACTAAGCTGATGGAAATGGCACTGATTGCAGGGATAAGGCAGAAGTCACAAGTAGTGCTTTCGCAGGGGGGAAGCTTGCACTGTTCCTGTAACTCAGCACACACTCATGTGTTTTACTTTCCTGCCCCTTGGCCCCCCGCAAGCTTCACTAAGGCACAACCCAAACCCCAGGCCTTTCAACCTGTGCCACTGAAGCTTTTTTTTTTTTTTAAAGGCAAAAAAAGTCTTGGCTGGAAGTAACTCTCTTGCTTTGACCCCACATTCAAGCAATACAATCAATATCAATTAAAACGACTGCAAATGAAATCCTTGCTTGTTTAACCTTAGACTGCAATTCTCCTTTCCTAGCTGACATATTGCAGATGAGTTTGGGGCGTGCTTTTTAAAATGCATCACACTTGCTCTGACCCTGTCAAGCACTGAGCTCTGGAGTAAGACGGCTTTTTGACAATACAGCTTTGGAAATGTTAAGACATTCAAAGCTGCCACCGGTTCGCAGGTTTATGATACACAATTTAACTTTAAAATAAAAGCGTGTGAACCAATAAACTCAGTGTAATCGAAACAGCCAAATTTATTAGCAGAGGCTGCACTCCTGTCACCTGCAAAGAGCCAAAGAGCGAGCTGCAGGCACTGCCCAGTGACTGACTGCTCCCTGCTGTCCTGTGGGAACAGAGAGCCCTTTGCTGCAAGGCTGGGCAGGCTCCAAGCAGTGCTGCCTCGGGCAGACATTACCCTGAGGCAGTGCCACCAAAAAGTGCAAGAGGGAATGTCAGTGCCACTCTACTTCGAAATGCATTTCAACCCACAGTCCTTTTGCAGAGCTCTGGTCTCTCTTTTTCTTGAAGAACAGTGTTTAGCAGTAATGTAGGAGACAGTAAAAGAAAGAAGGCATAAAGCAAATGCCTTATGTAAACAGCCAAGGAAACTTGCCTCAGTGTGAGCACATGGCTGACCGCATTTTTGGTAAAAACCTTCCTCCAGCATCTCCCCCCAGGGAACAGATCAAGCACTGGCACCGTTCTGCCACTCGGCAGCTCCCTGGGAAGCAAGCTGCTGCCTTGCTCCTTCCTTCAATCCCCTCTCTGGAGCCTGCAGGTGCTTCCCTGCAGAGAATTGCACACATCTTCCTCACTACCTGCTAACAGACAGCTATTAAAACTCCCACAGGTGCTTGCTGTCCATCAGAGAGGAAATGATCCCATTTTAAGCCATCAGTATTTCCTCTGGTGATGGCAGTAAATGCCCGCCAAGCTCTCGCAGAATTACCATCAGTAGAAAGTGTGTCAGAGAGCAAGGGAGCTTAAATGATGGAGGGGGAGCTGGGGCACCATTTGCAGGTGGATGAAATGAGGCTTTCTGTGGGCCCAGCCTGCAGGAGCACTGCAAGCACCGCAAGGCCAGCCTGCCCAGTACACACCGCATGACATGTTTGGGCTGAAGCTGCTTTCAGCCAGGGCTGCCCGCTCGGTCAGCCTGGTTTGTGCAGCACGTGAAAGATCTGGAAAACAGTTCATGCTTATCTGGCAGC